ATTAGAATTTGTAACCGTGGGTATAATATTAGGAACCCTTGGTCATAAATTTGTAGGCCCGATTCACCTTAAAAATTTCAAGGTTTAGGAACAGTAATTGTTACCAAATTCAATGCATATTTTGAAATAAATTCCTACAAGTATTAAATAAGTAATGATTTCATGTTGGATAGATTTGGGGAACATGATGAACCCTTATTAGTTATTATGAAGTACTCTATTAAAAAACAAATTACAATATATTCATATTTAGAAAAAACTTAATGTGAAATCATTAAATTCAATGTCTACCAAAGCTTTACTTTTTTTATTATTTGGTGATGACTTGGTGCAAGTGAAGGGCAAGGCTCAAATGAAAATGGAGTACAAACTAAATTAAACAAGATATTATACATGGCATAATCGAACACTAAGGGTCTGTTCTCTTACGTTGAAATTCAGTGCAGTTCAGTTCAGTTCAGTTCAGCTCAGTTCAGTTCAATTCAATTCAGTTCAGCTCCTAATTTCCTTCTCTTATAAAATATTCAGTTCAGTTCAGCCGAGTTCAGTCAATGAGAACAAGCATTATGCCTTTCTAATTTAATTGCCGGAGATTCAAATTAGAAGAGGATAATGAATGACAATATGCATCTTGTTTGTTTGAGTATGAGTAGTACATTAATTCTCTAACCAATGCTATCATAGAAAATATTACACACTTGTTTGATATAAATAGATTGATATGTGTTTGTTTATAGCTTGTTTCCATTTTAATTTGTTTATGTTTGGTTTTTATCCGATTAGTTTCATATGTAGGTCTAGTTCATTATATGCGCTTTTCTGGGTTCACGGCGCACTTTCTATAAGAGCTTAAGAGCTTGATTTTATATGTTGCTTAGTTGTTTTATGTTCCGTTACATCAAATTAAAGTCGATACAGGCTGATCAATGCTATAATTAGCGTTTCACTACTCTTTTGTCTTACTGCCTAGAATTTGTTATCTCAAAACGTACGAATTTAATTCATACAAAAGGACAATAATTCAAGCTATCCCGCCTTTGCTTACTTTTCTTTCTATAACACCGTCCCTTAATCCAAGTAATCTATTGTACTAATTGAAACCTAAAAATGATGGTAAAATGAAGTCCAATCGTAGGGTAACCCTTAGGTTGTGATGAATGATATAGGAATTAGTTCATATATGTGAAATGTGAATGTCGTAGTTGGTTGGCTAAAGTATTAGCAACATTTCACTATCTGCATTTGGACAAAAGTGCTTTAATCACATGCATACTCAAGTGTACTGGTCTACATGCAGACTCTATATATACTATTCATCCATGTAATTATTATTACTATTATAGAGTACTAATTACTTTGTATAATGCACAAAATTAATGATTAATATACTTAGCAACTTAGCACCATAGTTTAAGCTTCTTAATGTAAGAATGGATTATTGGAAGTAGAGAGTATATAATAGCAAGGGGAGAAGTTATAACATATTTATTTATTTCTTTTTTTTGTTCCACCCGGTTTACCCATTAGGTTAATCTGAATTCGGGTATCAGTTCTAGGTGGTTCCACTAATGAATAAAACAAAAAAACTCCTAGTTTTGCAAGAGATTATTTTTCCGCCTACTAATGAATTTTTTAAATCACTCATCGAAAAAAAAACACTGTTTTCAAGAGTAATAATCTCCAATATTTGTCAAATTCTAATTAGTAAGGGAGCGCACCCTAGTCCTCACTAACAAACAATAATTAAGTGCAACATCATCCACAAATAAAAAACATAAAACAAAAGGGTCAAATCAAAAAAATGAGCTAACGAGAGAACACTCTAACCTAATACGTGGTACTTAAGAAACAACTAAAAAAATGCAATAATTTAAATTGGTGAAAACTCAAATGCAATAATGAACAAGCTGTTTTATTGGTGGGGTTTACGTTGTTAAAGGCTAAGATGATGATATAAAGTGGGCGGAGTCATGTGCACAAACTCCATCGATCATTCATTGAGATTTGAGATGCAATTCAACAATTTGTAGGGAAAGGTATGATTTAGCCGTCTCCCATCATTGCTATACATACGTGCTACATTGCTTGTCATTGCTAGCTACAAGAGCTTGGTATCTAAATCCGATTCGAAAAATTTCGAATATTTGTTTGAATGATTCTTCTAAAATTTAGATTCATGGATTGGATCTTTGCTATCCAATATTCGGATATAAAAAATATCTGATAGGCGTGTCGCGTACCTAACAAAAATAAACCTAACTAGACCACTACTATGTAGACGGGCAAGCAAGGGTCGGATCCCAATAGACTATGGTTCAACTAATTAAATAGACTCAAGCAATTACTAAGCAAGTAACCAATTCAAATAAGTGAGAATCAATAACTAAAGAACTAATTAAAACGATTAATTCAAAACAATATGACAAATCAATGCTAAAAACATCCAAGATCAAGCTTCACCACGAATACAATTAATGCAATAGTCGTTCTACCCCTAACACATAATTCAATTGATTTAAGAGGAAAAGTAATCCATGAATAATACCAAAGGTCTCTCTCGAGTTATCAATGGCTTCTCTAATCACAATCAAGCCTACTTCCGTGGAATCATGTAAATTAGAGACCTTAAGCACATTACTCTGACTTCCTAATCATCCATTCAACTACTCCCGTGATGAACTTCAAACCCTTAATTGATTTATTCAAATCCGTCAAAACCCAACTCCCGTTGTGATTAAAACAAAGGATTAATAACAATACCAATTATCTCTAATCTAGTATTGGCATAAGCATAATCAATTAAGCATATCAATTACAATTATTATCAGAGAATTTAAAGAATTAAATCATGCATTAATCATATTCGGGTTCCGCTAGATCTTGGAATAAAGAACTACTCACACATATTAATGGAAGCAAAAACAATATTCAATAATGAAGAAAACATAATTAATAAGCAATTAAAAGTGAGAGAAGAAATAAAGATGAATACCAATTGCTTGAATGAAGAAAAGTACCAATTGTTGATGAATAAAGATCAAAACTTGAAAGTGCAAATTAATCTAAATCTAGAGAGAATATTAGGGTTCTAATGAATGTTTAAAAGCTAGAAAATAATAACTAAGTAAGTTAAGTCGAGGTTTACAAAGGGTATTTATATCCCTTAATTAAGAAAACCCGAAAAAAAATAGGAAAATGCGGTTCGCGAAACTCCGCCCGGTCGGGCGCGACAAACAATTTGGCTTTAAATACGATATTATGTTCGCCCGATCTGCCAGGGCAATGCCGCCCGGTCCGGGCGGACGGGGGCTGAACTTCTTCGCTTCTTTTCTTCTTCGCCCTGGCTGCCAGGGCAATGTTGCCCTCAAGGGCGGACACGGGTAAAATTCTCCTCCATCTTAATAAGCTTTCGTGGCTATCTAAAACAAGTCCAAATCATCCGGAAATCTTCATATGCCTACAAAATCAATCAAATAGACCAAGCCACACTAGAGAGGAGGATATTAGCGAGAAATAGCTCCGTAGAGCTTAGAAATCATACGAACATAGCTATGAAATGAGGGTAAAATATGGTATAGAATGTGTACATCAATATCTCTCTCAAAATTGATATCCAAATTTTAAAATCGAACATTTTAAATTATTAGATTGGATACAAATTGAATTTTTGGATTGTTTTACTCAACCCAATTAGCTTTTTCAAAACGATCCATTATCCATTATATTTTATCCGATATAGACATTTCTAATACATTTGTACCAAACAAACACCCCTTACCTTAGAACAATCTGAAAAAATGATTATTAATTTAATGATCGTTTGATCAATATAACATTGCATATGTTTGTATAAATATAATTTTGTATCAATAATTCAATATAAGTATATAACATTGCAATGTTTTTCATTTGTCAAAAGACATAAAGGGAAACTTTTCACAACTAAGCAAAGGAGATTCCCCTTTTTCATCCTTTTTGAGGTTAGGAAATGATGCAAGGCTTGGATACTGTCAAAGGTAGGGTGCTCCTAGGGTCATGGTCAATCAAGGCCATACGAAGATGGTGCCAGTCATGGCGGGGAAAGGGTAGAGTAACTACACCTACACCTCCCCCTCCACCCCATAATACAATCACAGTGGAACTTGATTTTATAACCTTAGGTGCCGAGGGACAAGCTTTGGTCCTCTAACCATCGGGCCAAGGCAAGCTTGGTACAGAGACCGAGTATAAGTTTTTATGTTGTTATTAATAAGTTTGTGGACTGGGAGTCAAATATATAGAGTGATATTGATGTAGCACATTTGCTCATAAATCATAGTAAGAGAACCTAAACAACTCCACAAAGATCAAATGGACTTTTGAGCCTTGAAGGCTTTGGGCAGGACGGATCAAAATTGCTAACCATACATCTTGCTTTTTCCCAACAATATAATATGAAGTATTATCTTTATTTTTTTGGTAAATTAAACTAGGCTTTGGTTATGCCCTATTAGGCTACTATCCTTCCTTCTACTCCTTCAATCCCTTTATTTTTGCACCATATGACTCGTAAAGTGAGCCCATAATGTCAAAAAAAAGGATAGGGAGTAGTCAAGCCCATACACCATGAGGCAGGGCGGGCAGACAGGTAAAGAAACCCCACCCTAAAATGTTCATAGTGAAACATGAACTTATAATATCGCGCTCTTGAGGAACAAGCTCTAAGGCGAGCTTGATAAAAATGACCATTTATCCCAAATAAAAAGTGTTCTGAATCTACCCCTGGTCTCTGGGGCACATCCTGGCTCAAAAATAAGTAGTGTTGGATTGCCTGCCATCCGCAGCAGCCTATAGGGGAGGCCGGGAGGGTATAGGTCTAGGATTCAGAGCTTCTGGATCTCCACATTATGATTACATACTTCACATTTTTGCATCAAACATCATTAGACCGAATATATGAGCAATGTTCAATGAGCCTACAACATTGCTCATAAAAATTTGTCAGTCCAGATTTTAGTATACCAAGCCTCACCAATGCACCATGAATCCATGATTCACTTAGTTGACTGCACCATGTATGAGTGAGCCTACTGCCTACTACATTGCCTTCATATATTTATTGGATAGCACTAAGATAATGATTTACAAAATTGATGACGTACACAAATATGCCTACATCATTTACATGTACATACATACATCACACTCAGATGGATAAACCAACTTTCAAAAATATAATTTTCAAGTCCATAACAGTAGGGGCAAGCATCGGAAACAATTGCATTGCTGCTGTTATATACAAAGTTTCCTGTTGAGGGAGGGCGCGGTTCTTCAAGAATATATCAAGCTATACATGAAGTGCAATAATAGTATTGCTGCAAACGCACCTTGATGGGCTGAAAAATTGATACTTTATCGGTTAAACTAAGATGGCTGTCGAGGACGACTGCACCATAGGGAGCTTAGAGCCCTTAGACGCTGGAAGTACTCTCCTAGAGCTAACAAGCCTCGAGCTGCTTGACGTACAGTGAGGATCCGGTGCATTTGCTGCAGGGTCTCTCGTCGAAGATGGTCTGCCTGGTGGACAAAGGAACAAAGGTTAACTGACCTACACTGTTGAAACAGGAAGCGAAAAGGGTAGATACTAGTTCCCCACCAAAATAGGCAGAATGCAGTGGGCAGGAAAAGAAATTGTGAATAAGGTATGGAGGATTTTATGATGAAATTATAAAGTTATTACCTGGTTTACAAAGCTCACAAGAGCTTCAAGTTTCTCAATTGCATTGTTAGCCATTTCTGAAGTGTAAATCCCTTCGCCTAATCGATCTGTACCTACGGTTTCTGCCAGAGTCTGCTGGAGTTTATCCATTCCCTGTGACAGTGCCTCTTCTGCTTGCTCACATGACTGTTTGAGGTTGTATACATCCATCACTTGTTGATTTGTCAAGGGTTCAAGCTGAGGCCCAAGTACCTATATGTGTCATGAAAGCAAATATTGTCAAATTTCGTAATATTTAAGAAGACTAACCAAAACAATCAGCATGACAGCATTACATCTTTCATGTACAAAACAATCCTAAAACATGACCAAGCCTAGCACATCTCTCTATTTTTTAAAAAGGATAGAAGGGAAGTCAACTGATTTAATCTGAATTTGTTAAATTTCACCAACATATTGGAAGCATAACATGGAAAGAAAATGCTTCACCTTTAATAAATCCGATGGACGGAACCCCCCAATCCACAAGAAAAAGCGTTCAGTTGACGTTTTCCACATCCCAGACATGAGATAGAATACGTCGGCCTTTGCTGCACCTGCCTTCAATTGAAAAAGATCAAAATAGTGCTTCATGCCACTATCTACCAGAATCCGAAGTTCAACATCGGTTATATGGGTATTCAATGCATTTCTGAGTTCGCAAATCTGTTTATTCTGCTCTTCAACCCAATGTCCATACTCCATCTCAAATGCAACAATCCCTAAAAAGAAAAAAAAAAACAATTATTAAAGAATGCATAAATCTCATGTTTTAAAATAAAAGTAAGCTTAATAGGTATGCACTAAAAACAACCCCATATTGGTAAATCCGGATGAATGCATAGGATCTAGTAATGGAGATAGGAAATGAGATCAAGAGACACTTTGGAGTCACAAGTTCCCAATAGTCTGACTCTTTTTTTCTTTTTTTTTTTGGCAGCAATATAGTCTGACTTTACTTCAGTATAGTTTCATAGTCTATCTCAATATCAATTAACAATAAAAGGCTATACTCAGCACTCCGGTTACAACTTTCAAATGACTTAAATTGATCTTGGTTGAAAATAGATTGCTGATATATCAAGCTATGAAACAGTACCCACTTCTACAATTCAACAAAATAAGAAGGCTATTTATTCAAAAGACTCCTTACTTTTAATTTATTAAACCTTACTCCACTTAGCAGTTTTTTTTATTTTTTATTTTTTTAAATGATTGAATGAGCAATACGTGCATTCTTAAAATAATGATTTAATTTGCAGCTATATATTACACAAACAACTAATTGAAATAGCAATTTATCAAAAGACAAAAATTTTAAGTAGAAAAATGCTAGAAGCAGACATATTGGAAGGCAAACCTGAATTTACAGTGGCAGAGAAAGGAAGCGGATCAATACCACTGCTCACAAGCGTACCCTGGAATCGACCATTCAAGGATGTCTTTAGCATTTTGATTAAAGAGGCAGTCTTTAGGAAACACATCTATAGTAGATAAGAAGGGCAATGAGAATTATGTCAATTATCATCATACCTGTTGTCTCACTCGTTCAAGCTCTTGCTCCATTTGCATCAATTTCGAACGGCTCAACTCTAATTGCTGAATATAGACCTATAAATAACGAAGTTCCAAGATGCATTAGATCATCAAAAAACAAGTACCACAATTCATTAAACTTGTAACACTTCTCTTCCCACCTTTTTTCGCATACGACTTTTGCGAGCAGCCTCACGATTTTGTGCAAGACGTCTTTGTACCTAAAAAAGGCAGAATAGTAAAGAAATTTTCACAAGACTGGAGTAGAAAATGCAGATCAGCATCAAAACCATCTGTCTGGCAAAATGCTCATTTTAGTGTCCAATCCATGTTCTCCTCAGGGGCCAGTGAATGGCAACACATACAAATGTTACTAAAACATAACTAGTAGTGTCACATAAACTAATCGAATATAATCTGATAGCAACAAGATGAATTGTGTAATCACAGTTTGCAAGCAATTTTGGGAAAATACTAAGCAAGGCTTTGTCTTAAAACCAATTGGCAACAGATAAAGTGACTTCCTAGAAGTAGAAAATGGTGATTTTGCTCTTTTTTTCCAAAATGTGGAACAACATTCAAGTGCATATATGGGATTTGATTGTTCAAAATCCCCAAATGGGAATACAAATAAAATGGGGGTTACGACTGAGGGAACACATACCCTGTAAAGAAAATATGTACATCATAGTGAATTCTACACTTAAGGACGACCATTTAATCAGGAATGTTCAGATTTCAAAAAAAAAAAAAAAAAAAAAAAAAAAAAAATCACAAAAACAAACTTGATTTGTAGGCAAGACTTTTGATCGTGTTATTTACACAGGAGTTATATATTTTTCAAGGGAATGTACCAAAAGGGAGTGTGCAATTGAACTCTCAAAGTAGCCAGTAGAAAAAGTAAAGAACATGATATTGTTTTGACAAAGAAAGCGGACATTCAAGATCTTCCGGATCAAATAAGAATAAGAAAACAACAATTAACAAGAAGTGGAATCATTAAATCAAGTTAAGACAAACAAAATCTTGAAAGCCAACATGTTATCTTAATAGAACTCTGGTAAAACACTAACAGTAATTATTTTTACCTTGTCAGTAGGTTTAGATGCTTCCTGGTCATATCTGTTTGAAGGTACCTGTCCTCCATGAGATGAAGTGTCCTCTGACTGTGAATTAACGAAAGTGAAGGTTAAAAAAGTGCCAGAGAACATTATGAGATTAACAATTGACCAGAATCAGAATGTATGAAGTATGAAGAGAATAATGCTGATCAAATGTACCAAGGTGTCTAGTCTCTCGTTTACTTCTACAACAGTGGACGGAGATACATTTGGAAAGCCATCATCTCTGAAACTGTCTACCCATGAACTAATCTGGTGAAGAGGCTCGTATATATTCATCCTTCTTGACACTAAAAATTGAGCAGTAGGCGAATTCATGTTCATATGAAGTAAAAAACGACTATCAACTTCTCTAGCTACTAAAATCAAACTTCAACAACCCAACAAATCTGCATTACCTGAAATGCATGCCTTACATCAGCTCAAGGTATATATTAGAATAGATTCTTGTTTTTTTAATGGAAATCATGTCATTAAGTAGAAAACACATGTAATTTGCAAACCCAATACACAGCAATATGTAATTTTAGCCAAACTATCAAGTTACTGCTGTAGTAATTCTAAGTAACCAAGAAACAAAGTGCAAACTACCCAAGCTTTATCGCACAAGAACACACTTTAGGTGATCAAATCTTTTCCGCTCAATCCATCCTGATCGAAAAAAACGAGCACCAAGGTTTCACTGGTGACACCAATTCTAGTTCACAATATATTGCAATGTCACTTGAGCTCCTGATGAAACATCCACCTTAAACAGCAATCTTTAACGGAAATTAACTGTCTCAGTTAATCATTTATCAGTTACTACACCAACATATTCCCAATCAAGTTAGTGTATGTCCCTTTGTGATATTCCAAATGCTTCCATAGATACATGCTATAGCGAAGTCCTTCAAATCTTGAAAACCACCATCAAACTCATCACATAAATTAAACCCTAATCTAATCAATACAACACAACACAACACAAGACACTTAATTCGCTCTTCGGTCTTCAACACTAAATTAAACCCTCATCTAATCAATACTATTCCATGTGTATATATGCAATCAAACTCACATGACTAAGATCATGATACACATACATAAAATCGCCGGTGCAATATTTGATGTATGGTAATAATTATACATCAAAATTAGGGAGTACAAAACAAAACATTTCTAAATCCTTGTAATATTACTCAAAATTATTTCCAACAAGATTGAAAAATCAAACAATATAACTTCTAACTAAATTAAGTATATAATATGAATTATAGGATCACATCTAAGAATAAACATGTATTCATATAACATCCCATCAACTGGAATCAATGATTATTATTCCCACTATATTATGTTCTACTTCACCATTGATTTAATATCATCCAAATTGACAACAAAAACATAAATATTTTAACAATATTTACCATCATCACCTTCGAGTCAGCTCGAAGGTGATGATTTAAATGTACGCAACTTTATCCTTAACTCGCGTTACAGCGAATAAATACATAAAGTAACGATTTTTAGGTAAGAAATCTGAAAAACAGCAAAGGAAATTTACAATTCTAATAGTAGCAGTATTTCTAATTGTAGTAATACAATAGAAAAAAGCAAAAAATAAATAAATAAAAGTAAGTACAAAAATTAAAGTCTATGACATGCTATATCAAATCATAAGACAAAAGCAAATCCAAAAAAAAAAAAAAAAAAAAAAAGAAGAATTAAAAAGAAAAAAAGGAATCATATTATTAGTTAGCTAACTAACTAAAATAATTATCAAATTTAAGGATAAAACTTGTATTAATGAAGTAACAAATTACCTGAAACTTGGAATTATCTCAAGAACATCGAGAAATACAAGGAGAATTGGATTGTAGGAAGAAATAAATGTGGGAGAATCTTCCAACGAAACCCAGAAATGGAATCCATTTTTTTGACAAGTGAGAGAGAATTAATAATAACAAGACGAACGCAAGGTTAGCTTAAAAGATACCATCATCATTATTTTATTTTATTTTTCGGGTTTATTATAATCGAGTATTCTATTCTACTCCCTTCGTCTCTTAAAAATAAGTAGTCCCGACTTTAAGTGGTTTCAACTATTCAGATAAAGGGTAATAAAAAAGAAAAATTAAATTAATTAATAATTAATAAGTAGCAAAAGTAGGAAGAACTTTATGAAGCGATTTGAATGAGAAGAGAAGAGTACTCGTGGAGTCGTAGTAGTTAACGAATGAATAATTGTTTAAAAACTGATTTGTCGTAAACGAAGAAAATAAGAAATAGGTGGGATGTTGTAATGTAATTGGACAAGTAGTGATAATATATAATAATGTTTTATGAGGAATTTAAAATGAAGAGGATTCATAATACATAATAATAATAACAATAATAAGTGGACTGTTATATATTTTTGAGTTATTATCATTTTGAATGATGAAGTAAGCGAATGAACATATGATACATACATCGTTATTTTCTCTCTCCTAATTTTATTTTTATTTTTTTCGTTGTTGATAGTAGTATTAATAATTAAATTGCTGTTGATGTTGATGATGGCGTCATATTTCCACTTTGTTGGTAATATTTATATGATCATATCATGCGCACCAGGTCATTGATAAAATATGGTGTTATCCTACGCGCACTAGGCGCATGTTAGATGACCCTACAAAAAGGGTTGACGTTTTGGCGGGTGGATAAGACACTTATCCACGCGCTTATTTTGGCGCGTGACTTTTTATGTGGTTGCCCACGTATGTTGTGTTAGCTTTTTTACAATTGTTAGGTTTCGTGATGGATTGATCGTACGTATTGTTGTTGTTGTTAGTTTCGTGTTAAAGATACTAATTAATTAAAATAAAGTGATTGTGTTTGAGTTTTTAACTTTTACAAGTAATTTATTTATAGATTTTGAAGATGTAGATAAATCATTAGTTGATTGTTTATTGTTTTATTGTATGGTGTAAAAGTTAAGGTAAGTTTAGTGAAAGTATTGATAATGACTACAAGAAAAATTTATTTATTGTGTTTTATGGTCTCGTCTTTATTTATTTTCATACTTATATGTTAGTTCTTGATTGTTTTACTTTGTGTGTGATGTGTGCTGTCTATATTGTATTGTTGCGGTATATTGTTAAATTGTACTCGGCACATTATTATGTTTCATTACTCTCACGTACTTGTAGATAAGATGTGATATAGGCTATTTTTCTCCTAAATAGGTAAAAAAAAATAAAAATTATGTTATTGTGTAGAGCTTTTAATTTTCTCATTAATTTTTAATTAAATGCAAAAATGACAATTTTTGTGGGACTAAAAAATTTCAAGTCACATATAAAAGTTTACAAGAAAAAGACAAATAGAATTCTGTGGAACATTTTGTGGTAATAACCCTGATGATACTTCAGAAATTATAATGTACAACAAGACATGTCATGTGGTACGTTACTATGGATCTGTTTTGATCTCTTCAGTTTAATTTCAAAGTTATTAAAATCCTAATTTAAATCTTAGAATCTTATGATTTTACGATTCATGTATGTCATCCGATTTGATTTATGTTTCTTCCCGATTTTACATGTTTTTTATTAACTAGCGAAATCCTTACAAGTTAAAAACATGTTTATTATATAGGTTTTATAATTATATATTATCAAGTATTGATTGCTCAATGGGTAAATAACTATTATCTATCAATAGTTAGGTTTCAAACTCATAATTTCAATATATTTAATTAAATTTAGTTTTGACGTCTTGATTATGCATGTCGGTAGAATCTTACGATTCGATTCCGATAGCCCCTTCCGATTCAAAGTAGAATCCCGATTTTAATAATTTGGTTCAGTTTAATTCCTAATTTCCTACTCTCATAAACAGTTTAATTCAACTCAGTTCAGTAAATAAAAATAGTCCTTATATCATACAAACTAGGCAAAGAAAAAAGCTATAGCTGAATTATTATCATTACCAAATCGTACAAACTAATAATCGTAGAACCTTAGAAATTATTTGCACCTTAATACTTTATCCAAGTATCAAATTAGTTGCCAAACACTTCATAACTACTCATAATAATTCATAATGAGACAAAAACTTTACATACATGTATTAAATTTTTTATATATTTGTATATATAATCTCTCAAATATCTCCTTTATCCAAACGCCAAATTAATCTAGCTTAGGGGGCAAATAGACTTTCAACACCAGCTAGAGTATTAAACAATAGTTAATTAATAAAAATAAGTACAATATTAGCTAGCTTAGAAGAGAAAATTAAAAAGGTAATAGGTGCGTGAAAATCACGCATTAAGATGTGTTTAGTGTTTGATTTGAAGCTTTATAACCTAATTCTTTATGTAACAGTAATATTAGAGCAATGGTAGTAGTGTGAAAATGGGGGTAACGGATAGTGGGATCAAAGGGCCAAAACCTTATATTCATGTCACGACTTTTGAGTGCACAGAAGCGTCATTATGTCAATTGATCATTCTTAATTTCTATTTTTATATATGTGCTTATTCATTATTGGTTTTTCTTTTTTCCTACCGGATCAAGTGAATCATCATGCACTTTGGTTTTCTTTTTTGATTCTATAAATAAAAAATTCAATTATTTACGACGTAATACTCCTTTACCTCGTTCTTAAATAAAAATCTCGTTTTTCCTAGACATAGAGGAAGTATAATTGGACATGCACTGATGATTATGATTAAGGTTTAATAAAGAAAGACGATAATGAAATAGTTTATAGAGACAATACTTCACTCAAATTGAGAAATAATGTTTTAGGGTGCGTTATATTCACTTGATTGTTTTTTAATTTACTTGAACTTAATTGAAATAGTGAACTTATTAGGTAGTTACAATATAAACTTGGATAAACCTTCATAAAACTTAATCAAAATTTAATTTAATTTTTATAAATATATTTTATCTGGACTAATTAACTCTTAATTACTTGAACTTATATTTCTTAAATGATTAAACTTAGTAAAATAAAGTGAATGATACGAGAATTTTAGTGACTTTTTGACGTTAAAAAAGTTTTAGGATACGTAAATTTTTTTTATGGACAGTTGGAATTTATTAATTGTTTTTTTACTGCTTCGTAACCCAGTTAAGCTACGAGGGGTCATTTCTTATCATTCGTGGTCTTCGGCTTCAATCTACGAAGAAAAACAACAAGTACAGTTTTACTTTATATGTTAGTTAATTAATTAGGTGGCCTGACTTTTTTTTATATTATACTCCACATAACAATAACAAATTTAAAAAGTCCAAACTTTATTGATTCTTATTATAGTGTTCTGTATTCTATTTGTTTGAATCGAATCATGTAACAAAGTCTTTATAATTTTTATTTCCTAGTTGTCTTGAGAATCAAGTTTTCTATTAGTAACAGAAATATGAACAAAGTTAGCTAGTTGTACAAGGGAATAATGCCAATCCACTTATCCACCTCTACTATTCTTTACAACGGTCCATGTTAAGTTACAACTTCATGCCAATAAGCCACGTCTTTTAGGTTGAAGATTGATAAGTTTAAGTTAATTATAACATTAGAGTATAAGTTCGACATGTACTCTGTATTAAATATATAATGGATTCGATTTCATTAATTTATTATTATGTTCGTTCTTGAGATTGATGTTTAATGTTTCATAATCTTTCATGTTCCATGATATATTGATTTGATTCGAACGGGGATTAACTCTTAATCATATTTTAATTGTAGCAAGAACTTAGCCCATTAGTCATCAAGTCTTGTACAGATTATATATGCTTTGCAAAGTATAGATATTGAACAATCTTGCATGTAATATGATTGATACTATATATTCTTGGGGATAAAAAAAAGTTCTTAGGCATAGGGCCTGTTCACTTTTAATAGCTTAAGGGTTATGTGTGAGAATAAAAGTAGATTGGGTCATATATGTGTAACTTTTGATAGTTTTATAGTAATTTTGTGAGAATAAAAGCAACTGAGTAATAAGGATAGCTTGTATGGGATTAAGATTAACTTTTATGATAATATGGGTAACTTTTGATATACAATAATTTACATTAAATTTACCTTACACCCAATGCATAACAAAATTAAATGGGAAGCTGAGACCTCTTACATGCAACGATGCAAATGTGAGTCTTTGGGTCCTTTGACCATTGTCACATTGCGAGACATGTGACACCTATTATATTGTGATACATATACTACTATACTAGTTAACATTGTTAACTTGTATCCAAATTTTAGTTGTGGCCAACTTTAAAATACTACCTCCGCTTTTTATTCCAAAGTTGCAAATAATAAAAATCGGAGGTAGTATAAAGAACCATGGAGTTGGGCCATGCATGGAGGCTTCCTTTAGGATTTAGCTTCACCCTTGGTTGTGGTAGGATCATATATAATGTGGTATAGGGATTAGACATGTGAAACATGTATGAGAGTGTGCCCTAGGTTTGGAACTTTGAATTAAGGGCGTGTTCTCTTCAAATTATTTTCAGTTTAGTTCAGCTCTAATAAGTTCAGTTCAGTTCTTAATTTCCTTCTCTCATAATATATTTAGTTTAGTTCAGTTCAGTCAATCAGAACATGCCCTAAGTCTAAAACTACATAATCCTTACAATTAGTCAAAGTCCATATCTATGCTTCTTCTCTTTATAAAAAAAAGTACAAATCAACCATTAAAAGTAGGTGGATCTTTTTCGATGGAAGGTGGCATTGGTTTCAATTACAAAGGTTCTTAAAGCCTTAAAGAAAAATATTTAATTTTAGAGGGATTTTCCAAGATTATGATGCAATAAAATTGCCCAAATGTGCCAACTTTTGACTAGGACTTGTACGAACATCAAACACAAAATTTTGAGCATTTGAAAGTGCTCAAGTTCCTAGCTTAGAGTGTAAAGTTTGATATGCATCAAGATTGGATTTGGCCTCCAAAGGACCCTTTTCAAATTCATGAATTTGAATTTTTTTTTTCCCCTTCTTTAATTTTGAGCTTATAAGTGGTGTACATTATATTCTAATGGAGTAAGTAAGACAATGCTTTCTTCAACTTACTTATGTCGAATTTAATTTATTTTTTTTTTAAAAAAAATTAATTCTATGAATAAAAAAACTAGTAGCTATTTTGTTAAAAAGTAACTACTATTTGCCAAACTTTACTTAGATTGTTGAATTATTATTACTCTTTATTAAATTAGGCTCATATATGCCCAATTAAGCACCAAAATTCCAAATTATGAAAATATTCACATAAACCTAATTAATGTACATGAGTGCATCTAAACAATAAAACAAATATCCCTCTAAAAAATAATAATACGACAAAACAAGTAGGGAAATTAGTAGAGTTTACAAAAGAGGCTTCAATTTGATCAAGTAAACCCAAACTTTAGAATTTAGAAAAAGTTCAACGCTAACCTTAATTTGATACTTTTATGCATAAAAATGAAAAAGGTAGTTTGAGACGAGACTTGACCACGTTAAGATTGCAAATTTAAGTAAAGATCTTTGTTAAGTCAAGGCCTTAGGGAGATGCATGTACACCTAAGTAGATCAATTTGTATCAGTTTTATTCGGTTGAGGAGTCATTGACTTAGGACATGTTCTCATACGTTTATTTTCAGTTCATTTCAGTTTAGTTCAGCTCCTAATTTCCTTCTCTTATAAAATATTCAGTTCAGTTTAATTTAGTAAGTTAGTTCAATTCAATTTTATTCAATTCAGCCGAGTCCAGTCTACGAAAACAGACCTTTATTAATTACAAATTGGAGTTATACTTGATCAATAAGTCATTCATTTTTTGGTTTTAATTTCGGGTTGGGTCATTGACGGGTCTATCTAGACGTCTACCAACTGTCTAGTAGCAAGTAGGTGAATAGACGAATAGTTCGGAGCCGTATCGCATTCCGCCAACAACGTATTCTTTGCGTTGAGCAACACACTAGTTCCGAAACACAAGTGATCGGGCCGTTGAATCCAAAATTCAATTCATAACATTTCCGATTCTCTCTCATCGGAAAACAAACACAATCACACTTTCAGAGGAGAGAGAAAGAGAGAGAAGCTTCGACCTTCAAGAAGCCCGTCAATGGCGGGCAACGCCGATGATGATGATGCTGCTCCTCTCATTATGTCGCCGCCATCTCCCATTCTTCCTTCGGCCGCGATCGACATTGAAGCTGGTCCTTCTGAACAAATTCAATGCCGTATTTGTCTCGAAACTGACGGTCTCTTTCTCTCTCTATTTCTCCCATTTTTTAGGGTTTCATGTTGATAGTCAACTTGGTCAATTTTTTCCAATTTTGCTTTGGGTTCACTGATCTTTTTACAAATTTTCGATTGTTAATCTGGAAATTGGGAGTTTTTAATTTCTTAGTCGTTGGAAGTTGCAATGTGTTTGAATCGTTGTTGTTTAGTTTTTTGGTTGTTGATCTGTGGCGTAATTTAGAATTGAAATTGGTTGATGTTGGGTTGATTTAATCTATATCTATAAATGGCATAAATTCAAGAATCAAGCTTGATGATTTAGTGGTATGATCATGATGTTTAATTTTCTGGCATGAATTATGTGAAGTGATGTATTCTTTATGGTTGTTTTGCTTGAAGCTTGTGATTTTGTTGATTTGAATGGATAATTTTGGTTTGGATTGCTTGGATTTGTTTGTTATAGAACTGAAATGCGTTGATTTTCTCAGGTCGAGACTTTATTACTCCATGTAAGTGCAAGGGTACATCAAAATATGTACACCGAGAATGCTTGGATCAATGGCGAGCTGTGAAGGTATGTCTAATGTCTTGGTTGTTGAGTGGGATTCCATTTGTGTAGTGCATGATGCATTGTACTTCCAATTTGTCTCATAATTGTCTTATGGTCTTTTTTTTAATTTTTTTTTTTAATATCTTTACCATTACATCCTCCTAGAATAAGCTTTATACCATGAACATCCCCACCATAAATGTTACAAGCTTTAGTATACATGATGAGTACAGTTTGTCTTCACTAGAAATTGATGTGAATATTTGTTGCTATTAGGCATTAGTTATATGCTTAGATTCGTAGTGGGAGCTTGTTTTGGATTTTCTATTCTTGTATAGAAATTGTGATATTTTGTATCCACAATTTTGTTGAAGTATTACATAATGAAAATTACTATTCTGGCTATTCTGATAAAAAATGCCCCCGAGGCCATCCCTGATTCCCTGACACATGTATGAATTTATAATTACTTTGGGGCAGATCAGAATCACACCCATGGGCCATAAGCCCATAACTATGAGTCTTCTCAACCTGGTCTGATTAGAGGCAAGTCAAGGGTGCTTCCCTATAACCAGCTCTAGTTGGGCCTATAACTTTTGCAGGCATGGTGGCTAATTAATATCCAAACTGTAATTGGGAGCTAGAGATATCCAAGTGGGGGAATTGATTATAATAGCCATGGTATGAAGAAAATACTTGAGTGAACTTGATTTCTTCAAGTTTCTATCAAATTTACCTTTACTTTTAGGATGACTTGCCCTTTGTTACACCTCTTCGATCATTTTCTAGTTGTGTTTTCCATCTCTAAATTAATTTTGTCTCATGTAATTCTCCCAGTAATAACTCTTCGTTCAGTGAGGACTTTTTCTTGTTTGACTTAATGTTTGAAGTTTTGAGTTTTGCTTCCATGTTAGAATATGGGCATTCTATTTTCTGAGCACCCAAAAGTTTACTTATTAGTGAATTAAGCCCAGGAGTATTTAGTGGCATTTTATTCATTTATCTGGATTGTTCCATACTTCCATCTCATATTGTATGCATTTGTTGTTTGCAGGAAGGGTTTGCATTTGCCCATTGCACTACTTGCAAGGCTCCTTATTACTTAAGGGTTCATGCTCTTGCTGACCGAAAATGGCGGACCTTGAAATTTCGGTTTTTCGTGACAAGAGATATTCTGTTTATATTTCTAGCCGTTCAGCTTGTAGGTCACCCAGTTGCTGCATCTTTTTTTTTTTTTTTTTTTTTTTTTTTTTTAAAAAAATAACATTTATGATCTTTACATGTTCTACTTTTGTCCAGGTAATTGCTTCACTGGCATATATAGTATATATGATTGATGGCTATCAAGATTTTTGGCTACAGCTTTATTGGGGCTTTGATAAACATTTCAGCTTTTACTACATTTGTGGTAAAGTATCTGGATTCATTTGCATTCTAGTCCCTAGAGTTAATTATTTGCTTATGGGTTGTCATTATATTTCGTATGTTTTTTGGGAATGGAATTTTGTACGTATGTGCCTTGTTTTTCTTTGATGGACTTTAGGCAAATAATATATGACAATAAGGAGACAAAATTTGACATGTTTGAGACTTTATGTGTATGTAGATGGCTTCCAAAAAATATTTTAGTCTATATGTTATATATTAATTATCTAAGTTGTTGAAACACGATTATATTTTAGTCCATCGTATGTGGCTATTGTGAAGATAATTTAGTAATTATGGTGGAAAATTGTATTGGAAATGGCATTAATATTTAATTTGGCGATCAAAATTAGGAGGTAGAAAGTCATTGTGAAATAGAAGGTGACACGTAAATGAAATATAAATTGGCTTAATTCGTAATCACCATTACTCAGTGAAAGAAATTTAAGGTTTAAACTAGAATTTCTGCAGCTTCATTCACCAATGGTTGATTTAGATTGTTTAGATTGTTTTATTAGATGCACTCACCTATTCAAATGAAAGTAATGGTAACTTTTGTGAGGATTCACTCTCGTAAAGCAAGGGTACTTTGTATTTTGCTTCACTTATAAACACAAAGGAAGACAAACCAAGCCAATACTTAAACAACTCTAATCTGAAGTATTGACTTGATTAGTTGATTGTCATTTGATGGGTGCTTAATTAACTACTTATCATTATTTTTTCAATACAGTTCTTCTCTCAGTTCTATTTCATATTTCCTTGTGGATTTGGTTTATGTACAGACTCTTGTCGTGGGAAGTTTTCTGGGTTTTGGGTTATCTGGCCATTATGGGCCTTGCATTGCTAGTCTTAGCAGTTTAGTATTGGTCTCTGCATGATGCTCCTTGCCCCACCACCTTTAGAATTGAAACGTAGGCCTTGGCATGTGACAAGTTTGGTGGGGTTGATTTCATCATCTCAGAAAAATCAGTTAAAAGGACACCCTCATAACTGAATCTTGCTTTTCTATGCACATGAACTTGAATTTAATATTCACCATCTCTTTTCCAATGTATGTGAATTCTGTACCTATATTGCACCTCTTCACGATTTCAAAGTCATGGTTGAATCCTATCCAGTGGATTGTCTGCTGTTGCAATATGACTTGCTAATTATCCTGCTGAGGGACAATATCTTATATGCAGCGAGGATCCTCTCTTCTTTTTTTTTTCCATGCCTCTGCATATCCGCGTGAGATCTCTTTAGTTTATTAGATTATTACTCTGCAAACCTATACTCATTAGCACATGATCAATGTTGATACCTCTATCTTAAAAGTCTTGCTTTTCTTTTATTTTTATCATTATCTTTGTGAGAAGGCAAATCATGTTTTCTTTGGATATTTAATTATCTAGAATTTGATGTTTGCATCTTTCTTTGTCGCGTTATTAAACATGTGCAATATATTCTGCTTATATTATGCTTGGTGGTTTTCAGGTGCACTTTTGTTTTTTGCTTTGCTTGGTTTGTCGGGTTGTTTCATAACTTGTTATGACAGAAGGGTGCGGAATGATCTGGCACAACCTTGTAGAGAACTTTGTCTTTGTTGCTGCCATCCAGGGTATGCCCATTTTTTTTCTTTTTTTTTTAAAAAAAAACTTGTTACACTATTAGCTAGCGGTCTGTGGTCAAATTTTGCTGATTTTTTAAACTAAGTTGCATAGAAAAATTATATGGAAATATAAAGTTAAAATACTGTTTTAAGTAGTAGTTGTGCCTTATGTACTCTAAACTAGCCCTTGAATGCCTTGATAGTCCGTCAACAAAGCCAGTCATTGTCAGTAGTGGACTAGTGGAGGTATTAGTTACAATCATTCACTCATTTGTTATCTAGACTTGGATTAGAAAACTCTCATTAACTTGGGAATAGAGGATATACATGGTAAGAGGGACCAAATATTTATAGGAGTCAAGAGTATATAAAGAAAAGGAACCCTAATCACATGCTACCCACTTATATGCCAAAACAAAAGTATTTGGAAATTGTGTGCCCTCCACAAAGGCATCCTTGCTAAAAAGTAGAAATTAGTGGAGAGGTTTCTTTGCTATGAAAGAGTGGACATGAACCTGAACCACCGTTACCACTCCAATGTTCCGAAAAGCAATCTTATAGGCTAGACAATAGCTTTTAGTGTTTTGACTTGGTGAAAGTCAAACTACTAAATACAACTTTATAAGTCACTACAACACAAATCGTTAGCCTTGCTATTGAACGCATGCTCATTGGGATTGAAGGTAATGGACACATTGCATATGGGAGATTGAAAGCCTGGAAATCGTGGCCTCAAATTACATCAATCTTTAACATGAAAATCTAGGAAACCGTGACCTCATATTGTCTCTAAAATTTTGTGTTCTTTGAAGGGGGAAAAAACAGTTGATAACTTGATATATTTATTAAAGGAATCAGAAGTGGATTACTTTACTTGGTTTCTGCAGACTGCAAATATAGCAACTTTTGCCTGTCAATATCATTCAGTATTTTTTTTTTTTTTGTTTTGTAGATTATGCGCGGACTGCCATTTACCTGGAACACTTTGTATGTGGACCGATTGCACTGCATGCTGCCAAGGCTGTGCCAGTTCAATTGGTGAGTGTGGGAGCTGTTTGGGAGGTGCTGGAGAAGCCGGATTACCGTTGTTGTTTATAATGGCTCTGATTGTATTGGGATTGTTCACGGTGATTGGGATATTCTATAGTGTACTTGTTGCCACTATGGTTGGGCAAAGAATTTGGCAACGACACTATCACATTCTTGCTAAAAGGATGCTTACAAAGGTGACATCTCCTTGTCAATTTAGTGTCGCATGTGCATATAATGATGTTCATTTATAATTTTGATAAGAAACAGCTAATTGAATATTTTGCATTTACATTATGCATTGGATCTTTGCACTGTTCTGCTGACATCCTAGTTAGCTTTCTTGCATGTATTCTTTGTGCTAGAACTCACCTAGAAATCAATAACCCATGTAAGAGGTGTTGCTAATCAGAATTTACAGTTTGTCTAGTTTGGTACAAATGCTTCTTGATGGAATATATTATGCCTTTTTTAAGAAATGGTGTTAAGTTGGTTTAGGTCTAGGCATGCAAATCCCGAACCTAATTATTTTCGTTATTGAGAAGCTGCTGTTTGTCTTGTGTTTCATGTTGCCAGTCTATTTTTTTCCTTCTTTTTTTAGTATTTCTCGGTCATTATTTTTTTCTGGTTGGATTGGGAATCTTGGGATTGGAGTGCGTTGATTATTAAATTTAATGAATTGTGGACATTTGCAAATAGTTGGTTTACACACTAACTTGAGGTACACACATACACAATGCCATTGCCTAATAGATGAGATATTCAAGGCAAAATTACACAAACTCATTATCATTATGATGATTTATTTGTCTTCCAAATATGCTGTTAGTGTAATCCATTCTATTCCAGGAAAATTTTGACTTAATTGTATGGTTTCGCATTTGTGTTTGGTTGTGTGATTAACTCAATGTAATCCCCTGATAATAACTTGTTCCTGGGAAGATATATTATTTCTGAATTAGATCATTTTGTTTTTGTGTGTTTAAATTAGTGGATAGAGGTTCCTGAGGTTATTCAGGATCAGGATAAGGAATCAGGGCAGTGAGTGGCTTCTGGAAATTATCTTGTTGGTTCCTCTAATGGCATTAAGCACTTGAGCATATATGTGGTGATGAAGATTTTTTTTTTTTTTTTGAGGTCATTGAAGAATGGAATATAGAGTGAAGGAGCGATATATGCTTAATTGGTAGTGGGAAACAGGCACCAAATGAAAAATCTGTTTTGTAATATTCAAACTGTTTAAATCCCCTATCTTGAATAGTACTTGCCTTGGCGTTGATTTTATATACACGAGTAGTTTTCAGCCACGTTTTTTGGTTGCCTTTTGATTATTAGGCATAAAGATGAGGCTAAGAAATGTGCAAATTTCAATAATACTAGAGTTCACATGATGAATTAATGTACACCATGGCTGATATTAATTGCAACCTGTAAGATAATACGGGTAGATAACTACAGCTGATTCTTAAGTGATACATACACATGGGACTTAAGTGGGGTATCTATCCTAGTCCCTAAGACCACCTGAAATCCATATAAGCTATGAGCACGCAACTTGTTGTTATCTCAAGTTCGGAAATTGGTGGAACTACCACATCCCATCTTATGGCTAATGCATCTGGTGGTTGATAGGATGGTTGAGCATAGCTTTTGCTTGTTAACCTCTTATGTAGACTAATTTACTTCTCTGCAGATCGAAGCTTTGTTTTGTTTAAGCTCTTTTTTGTTTTTGCTTTTGTTTTTTTTAAAACCTTTTTCTTGAAATGGTTTCCAGGAGTATGTAGTTGAAGATGTAGATGGTGAGTTGCCAGGATCTGATTGGACTCCCCCACCTCTCCCACCAGAGCATGTGCAGCAGCTTAAATCTCTTGGGCTTTTGTAAGCTAATTTAAGAGAAGCAGGTAATGTTGAATTAGAATGTACTCTGAAATATGGATAGGCAGTCAACTGATATTTTACTAATTCGTCATAGTAATGTGCTTCTGAGAGAGCTTGACATTTATTTTGTTTGACATATGTTAGGTGGTCGAATGATCCTTTATGGGAGCAAACTTTGGTGATGGTTTTCGCCTGCTCTACTGTCTGTACAGGTATAATCTGTTTCCATGCACATACCGAGTTACCAATATGCATTACAAAATGATAGATTGTCATCATTTGGCACATGAAAGTGCGATATGTTTTATAGGAGAGCATCTGGTTTGGAAATACAAATGTAATGTCTTCTTTATAAAACCAAACTGGCTCACCTTTGGGTCTTTTCTGAGGGGTTAACAGTTCAAGTCTTCTGGTTTTTGTTTCCCCCTTATCTGATGCTGACAACTCCTGTAGATGTACATGTAGTCTATTATTAACAACCATTGTACAAGTAGATTTTTCCAGCCAAACGAAAGGGAAAGTAGTGACTAGTGAAATATGCACTCAAGATTTACCAATATTATGTATCGGATATTTTATGTATTGAAGATTTGAAATCAGTAACCTGCTTCAATGATTGCATTTCCTCTACGTTTACTTTCTTGAACTCCTATTAGCAGAGAGGAGAGAAGAGCCGGGGGAGAGGGGAGAGGGGAGGGGGGAGGATTCATGTTTAGCCCGTGGACCAATATTGGCATTACATTCTTTCGATTTTGTAGGAACACTATCATATCAGACCGGAATCTCTCATAGAAGTACAATGCTGTGTGACTTGTTCAGTCATATTCTGAGAGCGATATGTTAAAATACAACCGTGATATATGCATGTTGACCCACTGACCCACAACATGGCAAATGAAGAAAGAGGTGCAGACTGCACTCTCCGCAGATCAACATTAAAAATCATACGTACTGTTCTCGTATGGAACAAATCGAAGGGATCAAGTTCATTAAACAATCATATGATTCATATCAACTAATAGTGGTTCCCAATTTCCCATCATAACAGCCCACTGGAAAGCACATGCAACTGCTCCCAACAGTCTCTATCCATTCAAACATGACCACGTTTTTCCTTGCTTTCACTAATTACATCAATTTTAAGTAGTTTGAGCCTTTGAAGTGAGGATTAGATATTTCCACCCAAAGTGCCCTAACTGGAGTTTGACCACAAGACTTTATAATTGTGAGATAATTTTCACCCAAAGTGCTCTAAATAGACTTTGATCACAAGACTTTATAGCAGTGAGATATCACTAATTGGATGTTAGTGTATTGGTAATTGAGACTACACGGATGTACTCCCTCCGTCCCATAATATAGTTTCTGCTTTTCTAGTTTGGAGATCCAAAATGTTGTTCCCGTTTTCATTTTCAGATACGGAGTAGTATGTAAAGACCATTATACTCTCACTTTTATAATTTTATTCATTGTACGTCCTATTTACCCTTGAATTTTGCACTTGTTTGTACTTTTTTCCATTTTCTCTCTCTAACTTTTGTCTACGATTGTACTTTTCACTTCTATTAATGTATTTTATCCACTTTCTTCTCCAAAATTTTAATTACGTAAAAAAGTATAAACAGAAATTATATTATGGGACAGAGTATAAAAGTTAAACTGACAGCACTTATAAAGACAGTAGTCAGTGCTGAGTGGGTGTAAAAACCTTATCGATGGGCATCCACCGAATAATGAAGAACACGTTTGACGTCATTGATAACATCCACTGTATGCATGCACATTGCCATTGGTAAACAAGAAAATGGGCGGATCACCAAAACCATTATCCAAATACCATTGTCCAACTAGCAATATAATAATATACCAAATTAATACAAGTAATTGAGTGTACGTTGAATCTTTCCAACTTTTTCTTAGTCTTATCCATAATATTCACCGACTATATATGTACTCAACCAATTTGCTTTGTTTCCTTATCATAGTACACACAATTATCTCCTAAACAAGTTTTAAACAAGTAATTAAGTTTGTGTTTAAGCTAGAAAAAAGAAAGATATGGCAGATATTGCTATGTTAGTTGCTGAAGAGTATGAGAGAAGGGTGAAGATGATGAAGAAGATAGGTGCTGATGAAGCGAAAACGACATCGTTTTTGGCTTCAATTGAAAGGTTGAAGGAATACAAATTGTTCCATGAAACCCACATACAAATTAAGGTTGTTGATCCAAAAAGTGAAGTGGGTGTTGCTGCTCTTGATGGATCATTTTCTGCTTAGTTAAGAAATTATTGTTCTGTTTTTTTGTTTTTGTTTTCTTTATTTTGGTGTACGTAGTTGTAAACTTGTAATTAATTGTTCATGTTAATATGAAATCTTTGAGTTGTACGAGTATTGATTAGGTTGTTGAATCTTGAATCTGAAGAAAAGGGTTGGATTAATTAGTTTCATACTTTCATCTTTGGATCATTCTTCAGTCATAAATATGCTGTCATATCTTTCTTTTCTTTCTTTCTTTTTTTTTTCTTTTTTTTTTAACGAAAATATGCTGTCATATACTCATATAGTCATATATGTAGAAAGTAGTACATTGATTGTGCATATCAACATTCGACATTTAATTTAGCTCAATCCTTTAAACAAACCGCCAAAATAATGTATTACCTCCGTTTTATATATATTACGATTTAACATAGGGTAGAGATAAAAATGTCTAATCATTGCAAATAATATGAAATAGGTATGATACTCTTTCGAGTTAGCTTCTTCGCAGTAGTAGTCGATAATGGTTTATTCGGCAAAGATTCGACTCTATCTACATTAATTCTAATAAAAATAATGAGAATAAGATAGATGATTCATATACAAATGACAAGTCTAATGTTACATTAATAATAATACTGCCCAACACATAATTTTGTGATACTCCATAATTCTTTTTTTTGAAGGCAATACTCCGTAATTCTTAAACTAATAATAATTATATTGTTTTAAACAACGCTGTTTAATCTGAAACCTTCAAAAATTTTCAAAAAGTATAGATATTAGCCTTTAATATTGGAAATTTTTTGACTTTTTTCACCTGAAAATAAAAATCGCGGAAATGTTTAGCATAGTCCCTAATATCCTCCGGGAGTCCAATTAGCTGGGCAGAACCATCCAATTTGCCTTTAAACGACCTATTTATCGCTGTACAACTTGCACCGATTTCATTAACTCAAGCCTACAACGAACATTTTTGACAACAAAAAATGATCATATATGGTTCTAAACTGCATTAAATGACCCCAAGATGTATACCCTAGAATTTAAAGACTTTTTGACACCAGACTCCAAATCTTCCATAATTTCTCAAAAAGCATGGATATTAACCTTCAATTATGAAAATTTTGACTTTTTTTTCACCCGAAATTAAAAATTGCTGAAATGTTTACCATGGTACATTGTTACCTAATATCGTCTGGGAGTCCCGTTGGGTGGATGGAACCATCCAATTTGCCTTTAAACGACCAATTTACCGGTTTACAACTTGCACTTATTTTATTAACTCGAGCCTACCACGAACATTTATGAATAAAAATAATGACCATATATGGTTCCAAACGGCATTATATGACTCCGAGATGTATCCCCTAAAATTTCAAGACTTTTCGACACCTGGCCCCGAAACCTCCAAAATTTCTCAAAAAATGTGGATATTAGTCATCAATTTTGGATTTTTTTGACTTTTTTTCGCCCGGAAATAAAAATTGCCGAAATTTTTACCAAGGCTCCTAATACCATCCGGGAGACCAATTGGGTTGGTGGAACCATCCAATAAGCCTTTAAACGACCAATTCATTTACCGGTTTACAAATTGCACGGATTTCATTAACTCAAGCTTACTACGAACATTTATGACAACATATAATGTTCATATATGGTTCCAAACGACATTATATGACCCTGAGATTTATCCCCTAAAATATTAATACATTTCTCACCGGGCGCCGAAACCTCCAAAATTTCTCAAAAAGCATGGATACTAGTCTTTACTTTTGAAATTTCTAATTTTTTTTCTCCCGTAAATAAAAATTGCCGAAATGTTTACCATGGCTTCTAATACCATCCGGGAGTCTAATTAGGTTTGTGGAACCATCCAATTTGCCTTTAAATGACCAATTTATTTATCGGTTTACAAATTGCACTGATTTCATTAACTCAAGCCTACTACGAACATTTATGACAACATATAATGATCATATATGGTTCCAAACGGCATTATATGACCTCGAGATGTATCCCATAGAATTTCAAAACTTTTCGACACCCAGCCCCGAAATCTCCAAAATTTCTCAAAAATTGTGGATATTAGCATTAAATTTTGAAATTTTTTGACTTTTTTTCGCCCGGAAATAAAATACATAAATGTTTACCATGATCCCTGATACCTTCCGGTAGTCCCATTGGGTGGGTGGAACCATCCAATTTGCCATTAAACGACCAATTTACCGGTTTACAACTTTCACCGATTTCATTAACTCAATCCTACCACGAACATGTATGACAACAAATAATGATCATATATGGTTTCAAACGACATTATATGACCCAAATATGTATCCCCTAAAATTTCAAGAGTTTTCGACACCAGGCCTCGAAACCTTCAAAATGTCTCACAAAGCGTGGATATTAGTCTTCAATTTTGGAATTTTTCGACTTTTTTTTTCGCCCGAAAATAAAAATTGCCGAAATATTTACCATGTTCCCTAATACCTTCTGGGAGTCCCATTGGATGGGTGGAGCCATACATTTTGCCTTTAAACGACCAATTTACCAGTTTACAACTTTCACCGATTTCATTAACTCAATCCTACCAAACATGTATGACAAAAAATAATGATCATATATGGTTCCAAAAGACATTATATGACCCAAAGATGTATCCCCTAAAATTTCAAGATATTTCGACACCGGCCCCCGAAACCTTCAAAATGTCTCAAAAAACGTGGATATTAGTCTTCAATTTTGGAATTTTTTGACTTTTTTCGCCCGAAAATAAAAATTGCTGAAATATTTACCATACTCCCTAATACCATCCGAGAGTCTAATTGGGTTTGTGGAACCATCCAATTTCCCTTCAAACAACCAATTTATCGGTTTACAACTTGCACTGATTTCATTAACTCAAGCCTGCTACTAACATTTATGATAACAAATAATGATCATATATGGTTCCAAACGGCATTATATGACACCGAGATGTATACTCTAAAATTCCAAGACTTTTCGACACCGGAACCTGAAACATTTAAAATTTCTCAAAAAGCGCGGATATTAGTCTTCAATTTTGGAATTTTTTGACTTTTTTCGCCCAAAAATAAAAATTGTCGAAATAATTACCATACTCCCTAATACCATTCGGTAGTTTAATTGGGTTGGTGGAACCATCCAATTTGTCTTTAAAGGATCAATTTATTTACCGGTTTACAAATTGCACGGATTTCATTAATTCAAGACTACTACGAACATTTATGACAATAGAAAATGATCTTATATGGTTCCAAACGGCATTATATGACCCCGAGATGTATCCCATTGAATTTCAAAACTTTTCGACACCCTGCACCGAAACCTCCAAAATTTCA